TCACAGTCACTAATGAGGTAAAATAAGAGAAATTTAATTAGCATTATTACCAAAATAAATGTAAACAACTTCCCACGCCTCTACCACTTGTAGCGTTCACGTTACAGAACTTTGCTAGTTTCAAGAGTCTAGACTGAGTCGGCACGTGTCAAAACATATGTGTGAATGGGCAGGACCAAGTCAGCACATGTCAAACTTGATTTTGGTCCCAATAGAAACAGAAACTCAGCATGTGTCGAGACATGCTGCCTGAATGCTTGACACAAACTGAAATTATGCCCTTGGTGTTAAATTTGAGATAATATATACTTATTTATAGTAGTATGACATGCCAATGGAAGAAATGCAGCTCGATATGGTCGGATACTGTTGTAGTGAATGCAGAACATTGTCAGCTACATGTATTTATGTGCTGCTGCAATCATTTTCTTCTTACAATGCCACATCAACTGAAAAAAATAACTGTTCTTTAAAGTGGGAGTGTCGTCACCTACGCATGCGTCAGGTTGCTATAGCGTGTCATTGTTTACAAACTAGCATTTATCCATGAGCCTTTGTGTTCTTACCGTGCGTTGTTATCGTCGTTTGGGACTCGTCACGCGTGCGCAGGTGACGACCCTCCCACTTTAAATCCTTCTTTGTCGTTCATGTGAATGATGACTCATAATAAATACCACAACAGCAAATAGATATAATTTCAATAAAGTAATTTTTATTATCATCATATGTGTATCATCTGCCATGTTTGGGTCAAAAAATATTCTTCAATATTTCTGAAAATGAATCCTAATTTTGGAGCCAAGTGACAAAATTTGAGTAAATTTGAGTTTCAGCTGTCACTAAAAAATTTTGACTATTTTTGTCCCAATCTTCTGAAGAAAAGTACAGGACTATTTTGTAAATGTTATTGTGACGTTTTTGGGACTACTTTATTGCATCCATCTAATCACCCAAGTGTACTGATATGTGGTGTAACTGAAAATGGGGGAATAAACAAGAAGTTAAACGTGACAGATCTCTGGTTTCTTTGATGTTTCAGGTGTTCCTGAGTCAACACATAACAGTGATGAAAAGAGGGAACTGGTGGTGAAAGTTTTCTGTGTAACAGTGTAAAATTCTGTATTAAACCCAATGTGACAGTAGACTGGCTAATATAACACAGAAGATTGATGAGGTGCATTACAAAACACCTGGCTATAGTAAAACATAGTAATTCAGCTTCTATGAACTGAAAACCAAACTAACAAAATTTTGTAGTTTTATGCAAACAATGCGTAAATGTGGAGGTTGAGAAGCCAATAGTAAAGATAGATGTTGTCTCTTTCATGTTAATGTATGAAACAAAACAAATTAAAATGCCTATATACCTGCAATAGTTTGTGTTACTGCTGCAGCTCCTGAAGTTGGTGGTGCTACTGATGATGATAGTGTTGCTGCTGATGATGGGGCTCCTGAAGTTGGTGGTGCTGCTGCTGATGATAGTGTAGTCGGTGCTAGCGTTGTAGTATCCTGATCTGACATAACAGTTCCAAAACAAACTTCCGAGTCATAAGAATCAGGAAATTTATCACATCTTAATTTATCAGGCCACGAAAAATTATTCATTACAGGATAGCATCCATCGTAGACTGATTGACACAATGACTGACATGGTGGAAGTATACCAGGAACATCATCACATTTTGGAAAATACAATGCACAGAGGAAATCAGCTAAGTGCTCAGAACATTGGATTGAAAATAATGGAATATACTGGTTAATCTCCAAAGCAGCATCCTCTGCATTTGTTAATCCAATATAGTTTGGAAACTGCGTCTGATTGTAAGTTA